GAAAAGTCTGAAAAGACATTAGGATGACCTTGCTGACAGTTAAGAGCTTGTTGGAATGAACTATCTGGAAGTCCACTGGAATGGACTCCACCTCAGAGGTTTACAGGGATTGGATGGTCATCCCTCAGGAATGAATGAATTGTAAATTTGCCACAATGGCAAAGAGCTGATAACCACCGGGGGTGGTGGTGGTGGTGGTGTCTGTCCTCTTCTAGAGTTTGATAAGTTCACATGATAGATGGAAACAGACATGGCTGAAACATAGGTATAACCCAGCTCTCCATCTGAGGAACATAATGCGGTATGATGCAACCATAATTATAAAGCAACGCTAAAGAAGTCAGAACCTACAAAACATCTTTTGAAGTAAAACATTAAGGTGACATTCACTCCCTCTTCACAGGATTGCTGCCTTGTCATGGTGAAGGGGCTTGAGTGATTCAGAGAAGCTATGGGCTATGACATGCAGGGACACCCAAGACGGACAGGTCACAGTGCAGAGTTCCAACTAAACGCGATCCACCTGGATCAGGAACTGGCAGTATCTCTGCCAAGAAAACCCCATGAACAGAAACAAAAGGCTAAAAGATATGACGCTGGAAGATGGTCCCCTCAGGTCGGAAGGCGTCCAACATGCTACTGAGGAAGAGTGGAGGACAAGGACAAGTAGCTCCAGAGCTGATGAAGTGGTTGAGCCAAAACTGAAAGGACGCTCAGCTGCCGACACGCCTGGAAGTGAAAGGAAAGTCCAATGCTGCAAAGAAAAATACTGCATAGGAACCTGGAATGTAAGATCTATGAACCTTCGTAAGCTGGATATTGTCAAACAGGAGATGGCAAGATTAAACATTGACATCCTGGACATCAGTGAACTAAAATGGCCGGAAATGGGCAACTTAAATTCAGATGATTATCATATCTACGATTGTAGGCAAGAATCCTGCAGAAGAAATGGAGTAGCTTTCATAGTCAACAAAAGAGTGGGAAAAGCTGTACTGAGATACAATCTCAGCAATGATAGAATAATTTCAATACGAATCCAAGGCAAACCTTTCAACATCACAATAATCCATGTTTATACACCAACCACCAATGCTGAAGAGGCTGATGTTGATCAATTCTATGAAGACTTGCACCACCTTCTAGAACTGACAACAAAGAAATATGTTCTTATCATTGTAGGGGATCAGAATGCTATAGTAGGGAGTCAAGAGACAAAAGGAACAACAGGGAAGTTTGGGCTGGGAGTTCGAAATGAAGCAGGATAAAGATAATAGAGTTTTGTCAAGAGAACAAGCTGGTCATCACAAACACTTGTTTCCAACAACACAAGAGGTGACTCTACATATGGACATCACCAGATGGACAATACCGAAATCAGATTGATTATATTCTCTGCTGACAAAGATAAAGAAGCTCTTACAGAGTGAGCAGAAACAAGACCTGGAGCTGATTGTGGCTCTGATCATCAGCTTCTTATAGCAAAACTCAATCTTAAACTGAAGAAAGTAGAAAAAACAACTGGGCTAGTCAGGTATAATCTAAACCAAATCCTTTATGAATACACAGCGGAAGTGAAGAACAGATTTAAGGAACTAGATTTGGTGGACAGAGTACTTGAACAACTATGGATGGAGGCTCATAACATTGTGCAGGAAGCAGCAAAAAACCATCCCAAAGAAAAGGAACTGTAAGAAAGCAAAGTGGCTGTCCAACGAGGCCTTACAAATAGCAGAGAAGGGAAACAAAATGCAAGGGAGATAGAGAAAGTTACAGAAAATTGAATGTAGACTTCCGAAGAACAGCAAGGAGAAACAAGAGGGCTTTCTTAAATGAACAGTGCAAAAAAAGAGGAAAATAATAGAAAGGGAAAAACCAGAGATTTGTTCACGAAAATAGGAGATATTGAAGGAACAATTTGTGCAAAAATGAACATGATGAAAGACAAAAATGGTAGGCACCTCACAGAAATAGAAGACATTGAGATGGCAAGAATACCCAAAGGAATTATTACCAGAAATATCTGGATGTCCTGGACAACCCAGATGGTGTGGTTGCTGACCTTGAGCCAGATATCCTGGAAAGTGAAGTCAAGTGGGCCTTAGAAAGCATGGCTAACAACAAGGCCAGTGGAGGGGATGGCATTCCAGCTAGCTATTTAAAATCTTAAAAGATGATGCTGTTAAGGTGCTACACTCAATATGCCAGCAAGTTTGGAAAACTCAGCAGTGGCCAGAGGATTGGAAAAGATCAGTCTTATATTGTTCACTGATATATCTCCAATTTGCATGATATCTTAGGAATGATGTAAAGGAGGTTCCTTGGTCTGTGTATGATCCTGTTTTTGCCAGGATATAACAGCCACTTTCCACCCCAGTACTCCTTCAACTCTTACCAGATCCTTCTACACTTATCAAGCAATCTTGGGTCAAGCCTTCCTCCATACCACCAGCATTGCAGAGGATAGAGAATTTCTATCACATCCAAGAAGTAGAAGCTTCCATTTTTTTTCAGCACCCCAAGCCCAACTCAGTTGTAGTTGAAGCAGCTCAAATTAAAGGGAAGCAGAACACATATTCCTCATGGGTAGACAGAAAGAGCCAGAAACTGAGCCTTGGACATATGGATTAGTAATTACCCAAGCTGCCATGGC